GGAAGGCCCCAATATCTGTGAATGTATTTACCAAGTTACTTGTAGTTTAGCATGGCAGACACTAAAGCTGAATCAGAGGTTATCAAGAGTACCAAGAGAACATACAAGCAATTTAGGGATAATGGAATTTAGTAGAAATGCGTCATTAGAATTTTTCAGCACCATGTGTAAGATCTAATCAGTAATTTACTGTGATTTTTATTATTATTATTTTTTTTAGCCCTGATTGTAGGAAATAAAGCAAGCAGATCTAATTTTTGGTTTTCAAAACATTTCAATTAATGCATTATCTTGAGTAAAATAGCTTGTTAGGAATTTGAAAAGATCTTATAAGAATACAGGAAAGAGGGAACAGCGATTGGCATAATGGCTATTTCGCTGGACTCTCATGTAGTCGACCGTGGTTCCAGTCCCGGTCCCGGTGGGACTCTAACTCCTGCCAGGTGCGTGTGTGTGCGCGTTCAAGATCCCGAGAGGACAATGGATTGCGGTGTGGCCCTCCCCCGGGGTGGGGGTGGGTTTCCCCTCTATTCAAGTGCTTTTTTTCCTTTTTTCTGAGAGAGAATTTTGCTTTGGTACACACACTTGCCAGAGAGACTAAACAGAAAGAAGCGCACGTACCCTGTAGCAAAAACCTCTCAAAAAGAAAAATACAGGAAAGAATCATCTATGCGTGTTAAAATGAGTGAATAAAAAATTTGAGCATAACAGGGCATTGACATAATCTAGATTTCTTTCCTAGGAGATCATTTTGATTTACATAGGGTAAAGAGTGGCTAAGATTGGGAAAACCTTGCCAGTGGTCTCTGATTGGCAGGTAGGCAGTGCCGTAACTGGTGCAGAGCATGGACAGTACAGGGACTAGCTGATGATACGCTGGGAACTCAGCCTCACCTGTGACGTGCTTGTCCTGACGCACATAACTTTAAGCCTGGGAAACCCAGACAAGCCTAAATTGAGGGATGTTCTACAACATAAGTGTCCTGTGTTCTTCACAATTGTCAAAGTCATGAAACAGAAAGACTTGGGAGTAGTCCCTATTAAAGGAGAGATGACAACCCAATGCAGTGATTAGTATTGGATTTTCTTTTGCTGTAAGGGGCATTATTGGGTAATTGGTGAATCTCCGTAAAGTCTGCAGATTAGATTATTGTATCAATGTTAATTTTCTGATTTAGATAATTGTACGATGGTGATGTAAGAGAATCCTTTACTTCTAGGAAACATATGCTGGGGTATTTAGGGCATGCCTGCAATTTCCTAATAAATAACTTAAGGAAAAAACAGAAGAGAAGAAAGTCAATGCAGTAAAATGTGAATATCTAAGGAATCTGGGCAAAGAGCATCCTAGAATTCTTTATATAGTCTTGCAATTTTTTTTTCCTGCTATAAGGTGCGTGCACTCACCAGACAGACAGAGAGAGACATAGAGACAGAAAGCGAGAAATCACCCCCCAGGGGGAATGGTCACGCCGCAATCCCTTCTCCTCCATTCTCCTCTCGGGATCTTGGGCATGCACGCACACGTGCCCGGCGTGAGTTTTAAGCCACCGGGTCCGTGCCTCGAACCATGGTCGACTACGTGGGAGTCCAGCAACATAGCCATTACGCTAACTACTGGTTCCCATAGTCTTGCAATTTTTGATAAGTCTACAATTATGTCAAAATAAAAGCATTAACGAAACACACAGGGTTATGGGAGGTTAGCCATAAAAATCATTTTGTTGGCCAATGATAGAGAAATGTGTTCTCCTTATGCAAATACTTTCCTTTGTTTTTTACAGTGCTTACAGCGTTTGTTTATAATGTGGTCAGTCATAGCCAGTTTGCTTAGAAGATCTGTCTATACTGGATCTTATGCTGTACCCATTATTGACAGGTTCTGGAAGTCCAGTGTTCACAAACAGAGCCCATTAGCTCTAATCGCAAGTTAGTCTCTAGTATCTTTATGTACTACATAAGGATAGCCCCTGGTTACTTTAAGTAGTTTTGTCACCAGGAAAGTGCGGGTTACATGAATGTGTGAAAGTAATTTTATTAACAATCAGAAGCTGCCTCATGTTAGTATCATGCAGTGATACAGCGTTAAATTAGCTAAATGTATCCGAGTGCAGAGCACTGCTCTACTGTAGCTGGCTATTTTTCTTTGGCCCAGGTATTAATGTGTAGATCCAGAAGGAAGCTCAGATCCCAGAGAATCCTCATAGTGTCCTCAAGCAAAATGTTGGTATACACGTTATAAAAAAGTTGACAGAAACCTTTAGGCTGGAGGGGAGGTTGGGAACTCCAGATTTTGAGAGTCAGTTGTAATTCTTTTTAGTTTAGGGAGATAACTCCCCGATGTAAGCCCACACACAGCATATGCCAGCCATGAGTATGCCTGTTTGGGTGGGTGTGCACCCCGTGACAGCACGTGTTTTTAGCCTATTGGTGAGAAGAGGGATTTTCCCTGATGGATGAATCACTTCAGAGATGACACAGTTAGTGAGTGGACTCAGCTTCACCCACTCATTTTCTTCCACCCGCCACCAAAACACTAAATGTTGGGACTGGGAGTGGTAAAGTGAAGAGGCAAATACGTATCATATAAAAATCAAATCCACATGTTTTCTATATTTTAAACAAATACCATGTCAATCTGCAAAGCCTTTGGGTTTTCTCTCCTTATTAATTAGATTTATTTTTATTCTGCATGAAAAGGGGAATTGTGATTGTCTTAATGACAGAGGCCCATCCCACCACACATGGAGTCAAAGATGTGCATCAGAAGGAGGCAGTGGGCAGGACGGAGAAGAACACAGCCTGTTCCACTCATTTTAGGTTGATCCCAAGCAACATGTTTGGAGGTTATTAGCTCGGTGAGGCCTTCAGCTCCTGAAAGCTACTTGTCCCTCATCTGTGGTGATGTGGTCAAGAAGTCAATTATGATAGTGTGTTCCCTGCTACTTGGTTCCCATTCTTGGCTAAAATCATGCCTTTGCTTTCAGGCCATAGTGTACGAAGGCCAAGACAAGAACCCAGAGATGTGCCGAGTCTTGCTCACACACGAGATCATGTGCAGGTAAGAAATACCTTGGTCTCTCCCTTTGATTAGCAAAGAGAAGATGCATTTGTATCAAATATAGGTGAATTCAGGTCTATTTCTGGGTATCCATTTAGCGTGCCTCTATTAGATCAACTAGAAAGAATTGTTAGGCGTGAGTATTTGGTAGTAAAGTGTCAGGCATCACAGCAGTTCAATTATTTATTAAATTACATCCTATAAGACAGACATTTCCATTTTGATATCACACTGTTAATGGGCACAAAGCTGTGCCCACCCCTACTCCCTTACAATCAAATAAAATACAATGCTCCCTCTTAGTGTTAATGTATGCACTCAACTGCATTGCTAGTCAGAAGAGTAAGAGTTCTATCATGTCAACAGAGGCCTTTGGGTAAGACTCAGAAGTTACAGTTACCCCCTTTTAATTCTCCCATTTAAAAATAGAATCTAGGCATCATTTCTCTTAAATTGAGTGTGGGCTGGGTTTTATATTTTTCCTTGCATCTACTCTGTATATCACTCTGGCAATGTAGCTGGTGTTTCTCCAGGTAGTGAGCTTCTGGGAAGATAGCAAAGATGAGTCCCTAAGAGAGATGAGAATTCAACCCACCTGCAGATGAAGGTCTTTGTTTTTGCCTGTAATCAGACTTAAACTGCATTTGGAAAGAGGCAAACAGACCAAATTCACTTCATGGCCTCAGCCGGGCCTCCATGGGTGAAGGAGAAAGCCACGGGATAACATTTTTAACTTGCTTCCTTATTCTTCATAAAATTACACCAGCACGTGGCTCCCAATATAGTCTGAGTAATTGGATAAAGCATGAAGATGCCACTGTGCATCAGAGAGAGGTTACTAATTGCTTTGTTAACCATGCAAGCTCTCCTGGCACGGAGCATGGCTGGGGCTGGTACTGACCAATCCGTTTAAAGCTTCAGCTGCCACCTCCATGTGGGTGGGCTTTATTTGCTGCCTGTGGACTTGTGGGCAAAGCAATCTTAAAACTCTACAGGTGGAAATGAAATAAAAAAGGTTTCATGTATGTCCTGAGGGAAATCCCAAACATTAGCTTCTTCTGTGTCTATAATCATGTATGTCTATAAAGTTTTTTTTTTTTTCCAAAAAAAATACTTCTCATTTATAATGCTAAAACATACAGGAGTTTTACAACTTTTCACTTTGGTGATTTGTAAAACTGTTCATTATTTCAAAAGCAGGTTATTGGTTCCTCTAACTTTAAAGCGGTAATAGACGCTCCAAACATGGGCATGGATTTCCTGTAACAGGTTATCGGGTGACAAATTAGCGTTCACTGTCTGTAACAATTGTACAATCAAGCTTTGTTGCACCTTTGGAAATCAGATGAGTAAAAACCATTTTGAAAAGCATTAAAACATGACCTCCTTTGTCTTGTCGTTCTCCTGACCTTCTCTCTCTTTCAGTTTCACTGTCTTTCTGATCATATCTCTATTTTAGCTTCTTACAATTAGCATGTCATTAGAATGAATTTTTCATGTTCTACCACATGTGATTCTAGCAAAATAAGAAAAAAGACAGGAAGATGGATCTCAACCGATAGGCCAAATAGTATCTATATATCATAGATTTGCATCTCATATTTGCACATGTGTGGACTATGCTAGAAATAATTCTAGTCTTGGAAACTTAAAGATCTATTATGCCTTTCACACACAAGCCTACCCTCTATTAATGTAGTTTATATTTTTCTTGTTTTTAAAATTCATTGGTCCAACGTACTTTATTATGCTGGTTGGTGTGCTTTATGGCTGGGGGTTTTTTTTTTTTTCGGAAACATAAAAATAGCAAAAATAAAAATTTCGAGCCACTGAAGGCAAATGATGATGTTTGTAGTGTGTGGCTAAGAGAGAAAAGCCATATTCAAAATGTCACCCTGCTAATGTTACAGATTACGGTTTTCCTGGCTGCCTATAGATGTGGAAGGGGTACTGTTTGTTTACCAGGCCGCCATGACCTTATTACACAAACCTGTCATCCATTGTGTGGCTAACAGTCTTTTAAATTGCAAATCTGATGCTCTTTAGGGGGCTTTCAGAAAAAAATTCTCACTTCCCACACCATCCTATTTCTCTTGATTTCTTGCCTGTTGTAAGTGGAAGTTGGGATGTGCTGAATTTGCACCAGGGGTGCAAATGCAGGCTCAATTATAAGCATAAAATTAGAGTCTGTTCACCATTAATCAGCCTGGCTAATTGCTATGCACCACCATTAGCCATATGGTGTGAAAGACAGCTTGCTCTCCCCAAGATGAAATTTCTTCATTGCAGACATGAAATAGTGAGGGCCCTGGATTTTAAAATAGCTTGTTTTAGATATTTAATTTCTAAACAACTTTCTGCAGTGCTTTCTATCAAAGCTAACGGCACAATAAAACTTTGTGTTGATGTCACAAAAGCTGTATATTTATAGTACGCTGGCTATGGCAAAGGAGACACAGAGAATTTAGATCAACAAGCAAGGGCCTGGTATGATTTTGTTTTGCTGCAAGCAAAGGAAAAAAGAGAAAGAAAAACCAGAAAAACACCCAACAGTTGTGTCTCAGGTGCTTGCAAATTAAAACAAATTCACTGTGTTCTGTTGAGAAGGTGACCCTATTGGAAAGTCTGGCTAAAAGGACTTGCTACTATTGAGTTTTAATTATAACTACTCAGAGACAAAACCTGTTTGACTTGGTGACATGGAGCTCTTTCTATGGAATTTTGGACTAGTTTCTACCCTTTAGGTAAATTGGAATTTATCATACAGTCATGATGACATTTTGCTAATACCTGGTGGTTAAGTTCTTAAAATAATACAGTGCCATGAATAATTTTTTAGTTTTTATGTATGTATGTACTTAAGTCACGAGTGAAAAAGAAAGGGAGAAAGAGACAGACAGAGACAGCCCCCCAAACAGGTCTTGAGGCAGAGTTTCAGCCCAGTTTTAGCCTGCTCAGATCATGGACCCAGACCTCAGGGAGGTCTCCACATCTGAACCCTGGACTTTCCCGTGTGGGTCAGCCTTGCACAGCATTGCCTTTTACTACTACACAACCCTCTGGCCCCCATGAATGATTTTTTAAAAAGAATTATTTATTCAATTTTATTTATTATTACTTGCTTTTAATTTTACCAGAGAGAGAGAGAAAGAAAGGGAAAATGAGAAAGCAAGCCACGAGGTCTAGGACTCGAACCACAGTTGGCCATATGGGAATCCACCACTTTGACCACCACACCACCTGCTGGCCTCTCCATGTATGATTTTTTTTTTTTTTTGGAGAGATTTTTGCTATAGGGCATGTGCACTTGCTATAGAGACAGAGAGACAGAAAGCAAGAAATCACTCTCTACTCCTAGTGAGGATGGCCACACCACAACCTGTTCTCTTCCATTCCGCTCTCATGATTTTGGGCACCCATGCACACATGCCTGGCATGAGTTTCAAGCCACTAGGTCTGGGACTTGATCCATGGTCAACCATATGGGGAGTCTAGTGCCTTAACCACTATGTCACTTGCCGGCCTCCTATTTTTAAAAGTAGGATTCCATAAGGGATTTGATGATAAGGGCATCCTGACATCCTGTATGTAAGTATGGAACCATATTCGGTAAGAGAAGGTAGTTCCATGCCCACAGGCAGGCTGAAGCAGGTTTTCTCCATTGTGAACACACCAGACACTGGCAGGGGATGGGTACTCAGTTTAGGAAAGCACTCTTATCCCATTATCACTGCCTGGTTTCTTATAGGACTGCTAGTCGGGTGCCTTGATTTGCCTCTTCTTCCTTCCTCTTTTCCTGGCTTAATCTGGCTTCATCCTTCAGATTCCCTCATAAGCAAAATTTCTCTAGGGAAGCATCTCTGTCCCTAGGCCTGAGTCAGGGCCCCCTGTTATTCAGTCCTGTGTGCATGGGTACATTTCCTTCATAGGACTGTGTACCCAAGATCTGTCTTCCTTACTAAGAACCCCTTGAAAGTAGGGAACTTACTTGCTTTTCCTCTGGGCTTGAGTCGTCCCATTTGCGAAACAGGGGATATCACTTATCTCCTAGGGTGGTGGTGAAGAGTAAATGCTGCCATCTCCATCAATGCTAATCATGGTGCTTGACACATAGGAAGTACTGAATGTCTATTGTTATTATTAATAGTAGTAATTTTAGTATTAATCGAAGCAGTAGCAGATATATCCACAGTGACTAGTTAAGTACCTGGCATGTAATGGTGCGAAGTGAATGCTGAAAAGAGAGCATCAAAAAGAAATGAAATGCCTACTAAAACAGAAATGTACTTTGTTCATTCTAGTTGTGTGGTGAAAAAATGTTTCCATTTGTTCTTTTAGCATCTACTGTGTGCCAAGCATTAGGGAAGGCAGAGCCAGAAAAGACAGGGATCTGCATCAGGAGAGCTGAGGGTTAGCCTGGGAAGTGGGACCTGTCAGCAGACAACTAGACTGCACTCCAGAATGAGTGGAATTGGGTGAGAGGCTGAGGCAAAGGGCTGTGCTTATTCAGAAAAGGGAGGACATACTTGCAGGTGGGTAGACATGATGGGAATGGGGAAAGGTGTGAGATGGAGAGGGGTTTCAGAGGGTGCGTGGAGGAATATTTGGGCACCCTAGCTGGTGGTCCAGACAGGATTTCTCAGTGGAGAGAGTGGAGCGGAGAGGAGTCATGGTTGGAGATAACTGACTTCAGAGGTCTTTTCCCAAAAGGGAGTGTTGCTGCTGTGGATTTAGATGGGTGTGACAAGGGTGAGTGAATAGAACAAAAGGGAGACCATGGACCTGTTCTGTTTTTTTTTTTTTTTTTTGAGAGGTTTTCACTATAGGGGGTGTGTGCTCGCCAGAGAGACAGAGAGAGACATAGAGACAGAAAGTGAGAAATCACCTCCCAGAGGGGATGGTCATGCCACAAACCCTTCTCCTCCATTCTCCTCTCGGGATCTTGGGCACGCA